CGTGAAGGAGCCTCAGGCGTCCCTAGAAGCAGCTTCAGACCGGGAGTTCCTGAAACTCGGCGGAGAGGCGGGGGCGTCCCGACTTGGCCAAGGTTTGGACGGGAGACCTGAGCCCCGGACGGACGACAGATCAAAACCCCAGAAAAAAGCGAAACGGTTTTGGAGCCTGGCTCCAATGGGTTTGGAGCCTGGCTCCGAAAACCCCAGAGAAAGAGTGAAACGACTTACGGTTTGGGAGCCTGGCTCCGAAGTCGGTGCTGGGTCGAGGGAGATTCCGAATCCAGAAGACGGGTGGCGGCGCAGGGAGAGGAGGGGGACTCTCGTCCCGACCAAAAAGTCCGGGCCGGGTCACAAAACCCTCCTCCCGGGTTTCGGCACCAGATGTAAGGAATCGGGGGCGCCGCCGAATAAAACAGAGAAGAGACTGGAGAGCCAATCAGCCGAATAAACAGGGATCAGGCTTTATTGGGTGCACTCCGGGCGGGTTCACAGACTCCGGGGGTCGAGTCCTAGAAGCCGCGCTCAATGTAGGGGCTTGTGTCTTTTATATCTGCCTGTTGCAGCTGGAATTTGTCCCTTAGGGTTTGGCCCTGCGGGGGTTATGCATGGAGCCTCTGGAATATGAATAGATAAGATGGGAGTTAATCTATAGGCTCGAGGCAGGCCGTTCAGGGTGGGAGACAAGGCTGAGCAAGGAGACAATGGTCGAGCACTTTGCCTGGCACCAGTCCCCAGGCCATCGGACAGAAAGGGCTGGGAAAATGAGCCCAGGCTGGGCTGCTTTGGCTCATTATGGAGTCAGAGAAAAGGGGCTGTGGGGACAGGTTCAGAGGTTTTGTCTGGGATGAACTGCCACTCCCCTTTGCTGTCCTGGTTGCAAGCCTTGTGGGGTCCCTTAGAGTTCAGGAGATGCACGCCTGTGGGGAAATAAGGGAAGGAGGGAGGCACAGGTATGCTCCTGGGAAGGAGATTGTACTGGGACCTTTGTTTTCAGGGGTTTTAAAGGCTGCGTATTTAAGGGAGTTCTTAGGGGAGGATTTCAATAGAATATTCATCAGCTTTATGCTGATGAACAAAATGAGGATTATTCTCTTAACTTCATCTGTCCTTGGCTGTGGTTGGCAAATGACATTAATTGGATTTCTGCTGTCTTCCTGAGTAGGGTGACTTAATCTATTTACCCTCCAGCTGGGAAAAAGTACAAACCATTTACTCTAAAGTATCCCTGATTTAGGGGAAGATAGGATTAAGTAGATGGCTGCAAACTCTGTCTCAGTTTCCCTATTCCACTTGTTCTGGAATTTTTCTAGCTTCTTACTATCTTATGATAGAATGAATGGAGTCTTTCTAGTAAGGGCCTCTCTGAATCTAATCATGTTTTGGGATTTTAAAGTATGTTAAATATGGTATTTAGTTAAGAAGATCTAAGATATCTATTAATATCCAAATCCTGCCTTTGATTACTCTTCATACAAGGTCACTTGATAAAAAATATGCAAAGAAAACAAAAAGGCAATGTAAGATCTTACTACTAGCTGGGTTTGGCCCCCAAAACCCAATGCAAAACTCTAGTTAAACAGCTAGATCTATGGAAAATTCCTTTCCCTATCCAAGACAACCAAAAGACCTCTTTTGTTTTCCACCTCCAAGCCCCCTGTCCCTATCAGCAAGAAGCAAAGACTTGGCCCTAATGCCTACAGGGGAGCTGGCTATTCTGCCCATTGTCTAAAGAAGCCAAACACCTTAGTCTTCCTTACAGCTCCACTCCTGCTAACTCCAGCAGGAAAGAGGCCTAGAAGAATCTTCAGATTATATCTTTAATTAGCAATGGAGAAGGGCAGTCCCCGCAGCAGAGTGGCTTGGAGAATCCCAGGGTTTGGACTCATAAGACTCCAGGAGCATCTGTCTTGTCTTCCAACTGTGCAGGCATGTTGATAACCCCATAAATGATGATTGGTAAATTATTGTGCTGCTCTATAATTGATGATTGGGAAAGTCACTGTGTGCCCTCTAGCTGAACCTGTTTAGTCAAAATAACCTTAGTAAATTGGAAGACCCCCTGAACCAAGAAATTGTTAGGAGCCGACTATGTGTCTGACAGAGTCCACAGAGCCTGGAGGCCTTGAGTCAGAGACTCGACCTTCCCCAAAATCTCAAGGAATTAGGCTTGCATTGTGTTTGTGCAGCTTGGGGCTAAGTGTGACCCAATGTACCTTGAAATATCTGAAATACCTGGGTGTTCCTGAGTGTGCCTGGGTGTTCCTATTATCCATAAGGCAAACTAATTCTATACAGCATTGCTGTGGCCCTGGGCATTATATCAAGAAGATTCTATTTTCTGTAAGGTATAAAATATCGGGGCTGATTTCGAAGACTCTGTCACAGGGGTGTTCAGAATCAGATGCCAGTCAGCTAACAAATGGCTCTTATTTGGACTTCAATTCTCTAGCGGTTTTTCTTTGACTCTGTCGCGCCACAACATTTGGAGGCCACAGGGGTCTCCGAGAACTCGGGATCAGTCGCTGGCCGGCTTTGCTCTCTATTTGGCTTTAATTTGGCTCTGGTGGTCTCTCGGTTCTCTTGCACCACTACGCAACATCTAGGAGACGGTGCTGTTTGTCAGTCAAGGAGCTTCAAGATACCTGGGCCACAGAACCTTGATTAGATAAGAGGAAAATCCTGGCCACATCAGCTGTTTGGGGTCACTTTTAGGGTCTGTATAGCTGCTTCCTTCTCCACATATATCCTTGGGTGGAATTGGAAAAGCTGCGCAAAGTATGTGGACACTTCAAGACGCAAGCTAATGATGTTATCTAAATCCCATACCTATTTCCATTCTATATTCATTGACTCTTACGAGAATCAGTATGGGTCCCTCAACTGCAGGCGCTTTGTTTGCCTGGGTGATACAACATTTAGTTAAGACAGACATTTTTCTTGGTTGGAAAGAGGTTCAAAGACACTGGATCACAAAACAATGAACCCCACACATTCGATTCCATTTGAACCTGAAAACATCGTACGATGTAGCCCTTAAAATCTAATTACAGCACTCAGAAGAAACAAGTCTACATACAAATTCCCCCATACTCAAGGGGATCTGGAAATATCACACCAGCTTTATAATCAAAGAGGTCTGTTCAGACCACACTTTCTGACCAGCAAACTTCTAATCAATGAGCAAACCGGCTTAACTCTTTGCAAGAGAACTTCCAGCATGAGACCACAAAGGATGGTCTGAAATTTAAAAAACAAAAACAAAAATATATATATTTGGTCATTCAAATGACCAAACTATAATTCTCATATATATTTGGTCTTCCTCCAAGGTTCCTGGCTCACAGCTCCCCAAACCCTTGGGATTTCCTGAGTGATAAGAGCAAAGGGAATATCTCTTATCATATTTGGTCTCTTGTCCTCAGTTCCTGAAATAATTTCAGAGCCATAAAGGTGAAATGGATGTCTTGTTATTCTTAACAATCCTGTTTCCACCACAACTGGGTTTATGTTAATAAGGTGACTTTTGGAAAGTACCTAAAGATTGGGGCTGGTTGCACCCCGCTGACCAGAGGGGTGCAACTTTCAGCCCCACACCCTGATTTCCAAGGAGGAAATAAGGGCTGGATGTTGAATCAATCACCAAAGGCCACTGATTCATGCCGATGACATGAAGTCTCCATAAAAACCCAAAAGGACAGAGTTAGAGAGCTTCTGGGTTGGTGAATGTGTGGAGATTTGGAGAGAAGGGCCTGACTTAAAAGGGAATGGAAGCTCTGTGCCCTTTCCCCATACCCTGTCCTATGTATCTCTTACATCTGGCTGTTCCTGAGTTATATACTCTATAATAAACTGATGATCCTGTAAGTAAAGTTTCTCTGAGTTCTGTGAGCAGCATAGAGTCCAAGGAGGGGGTCATTGGAACCTCTTATCTATATAGCCATCAGGTCGGAAGCCCGGGGGAAAATCTGGACTTGGCAATTGGTTTAAATCCTCACCTGAAGGTATTTTTCGATTTATCTTCAGATAGAGTGGGAAGGAGGGAGAGAGAAAGATACATTGATGTGAGAGGGACACAGTGACTGGTTGCCTTCCGCACAACCCTGACCAGGGCCAGGGACGAACTGCAACCTAAGTACATGCCCTGGACCGGAATCGAACCCACGACTCATTGGTCCACAGGCTGCTGCTCTAACCGCTGAGCAAAACTGGTTAGGGCTGCAATTGGTGTCTTAAGTGAAAGGTGGTCTTGTGGGACTGAGCCCTTAACCTGTGGAATCTGAGTCTATATCTGGGTAGACAGTTAGAATTGAGTTGAATTATAGGACACTCAGGTTGGTATCCGAGAATTGCTTGGTGGTATGGGGGAACCCCCTCAACAACACACATACCCTCATGTTGGAAGGGGGTCCAGAACTATTTTACATGCCCTCTTTGCTTCCTTCCCTTCTTCCTCCTAATAGAGACAGTTGGTTATAGATACCTTTGAGAATTTGAGGAAAGTCACAAAACCTCTCCTCAAGAAAAGGTATATTAGATACAAAACTGCATGAATTTTCCAAGAGTTCATGGACCTCCCTGAAATTCATCCATGTATCCAACACGGGGTAAGAGCTCCTGCTCCAGGTACATGGTTGGCCTTCATAGGTTGGCTGAGAAGGGTATTCCCTCACCTGAGACACTGGAATTAGGCAGAGGGCTCACTCAAGAGCACATAGAGTGCCCTAAGTAATTCCATTCAATGGCCATGCAATTTCCTTACTCATTCACTGTGCCTGTTAATCTCTGAACTGGCTGAACTGGACAGCTACTGAGCTACTTCAGCTTTGGGATCCTGATTATTAGCACAACCCACACCTTGCCCCTCAGCAAGGCAAGAAAGCTGTAAAAAGTGAATTCAACTCCTGATGGTAAGTTCTTTAAGTCCAAATTTGATCTAGTTTGCAAATTCTGTACTAGTGATTACTTCTGCAACTAGCTAATACTAATCACTGTTATTACAGGGAGGCAGCTAAGAAAATGGCATCTATAGTTCAGTACCAGGAATACAGCCCTACTGAACCTCCACTTTGGTTTGGCTATAACTGTGAAGGCAAGCCTCTAACAGAGAGCAACGGGATTTAAACCTCTTAAAGGTACAGAACTGACAGTGAAAGAGGCAACATACAGTAGTGAAGAGGAAGTAGTATCACCTTCAACTCAAGCAGGAAGAACAAAACAATCTAGAATTTGGCGACTTCATTTGACATAAGTTTTTTATTAGCTGGATCTCAACGGTATAATGAGCAGCAAATCATCTCCTGATTCTTATTCCAACTACAAATGTTTCTAAATACATCATTAATTCTTCTGTCTAATAATGATGATTTTTAAAATGCCAAATCAAGTACTGCTAGTATATAAATATCCCATGTAAAATTACCTTAATCAAACCAATAGTTTGATTAGGTTACCAAATCTGAGGTTACAGTTATATGAAACAACCCTGACAGATGTGATGTTTTTTGACAAAGAATTTAGAGGCTTTTCTTTAGAAAAGAAAGCAGAGATGGCCTTATAAGTCAGAATAAAACATAAACATACATTTTTAAAGGAAACAAGGCTTTCTTATGATTTCCAGATACTTACAATAAGACAGAACTAAATGCCAAGTGACCCTGGACTCATCTCAACATCTGATTTAACTGTTAGCGGTAAATTAAATAGAAACAGGATCTGTAAATAGAAAGAGTGTCCCTGCAATGTCTCAGAAAAATATTTTTAATCAGATTTGCACTATAGGGGAATTTGTAAACTATGCTATCAAAAAAAAAAAAAAAATGCTCTCCAAATTTTATGCCCAGAGATATAAGTTATTTATACCATGATTTAATATCATGTAGACTGATGTTCATAGAGTTCAGAAGACAGCACAACTGTTCTGATCGCCACAAAGAAGTTGTGTCAGTAATATTAGATCAACTTTTTAACCCTTTTATTTCCTCTGTTACTTATCTCTCAAGTGGGATTAATCACTATCTTTTTATATCCCACAAAATTGAAGTAAGAATAAAATTTAAGGTAAAGGATATTGAAGGTATTTTGAATAGATTTTAAAGGGCTCTTCAGATATTATTATAGGGTACACTGTATTAGCTAAATATTTTGAATAATTCTCCCCTTCCTTAGTTTGATTTTGAAAGAGTTTTTGAAATAAGGTAGTATCCCTTAGCTGGTAGAAATGGTTCCTGAAAATGGACAGCAGGGGAATCAGCTGAGTAGGAGGTTTTAAGATCTGAGCCAAAAGATTTAAGATGATTGTTCTAAGAGGGTGATTTTAAACTAATTTGGAGATTTCTGGCAGCTACATAAAAGCTGGCTTCTGCCCTGGCTGAGTAGCTCAGTTGGTTAGAGCATCACCCTGATATACCAAGGTTATAGGTTTAATCCTTGGTCAGGGCACATAAAAGGATCAACCAATGAATACATAAATGTGGAACAACAAATCAGCCTCTCTCACAATAAACAAACAAACAAACAAACAAACAAATAAATGTCATTTCTGAATCCTAAGTGTCTGACCCCAATGTGTCTCAGGCACCCAACTGGAGAGACCTATACCAGAGGCAACTGTTTTCTACAGCAATAACACATGCACGGGGAAGACTAGATGTTATATTCTCTAGTAACCAAGCAAGGTGTTTAACTGTCAAGTCTTGCTCCAAAACTCTTAGGCTAAGATCCTCCTTTAAACAAGAACAAAAGACACATTTATTCTTTGCGGTGAGACAAATTGTATCACTACAGAAATGAAAGAGAAGGGCTAGGTGTTAGAAAAAGTAGGTTATGAAAAAGGGATCAAGAAGTAGAGTGAACAGAGGGCAAGGTACTCAGGGTATCCAAAATATTTCTTAGGTCTCAACTCTTAAGCATTTGATATGTATCAGTCTGTGTTCAAGACAACAACATACGGAAGCTTTTCCTTTCTGTTGAAACTTGATTATGTGATCCAAAATACGTACAATTCCTTTAATAATTTTAAATACAGTTGACTGATGTTATATTCATGACCATTCTGGCTATTGTTGATTAATTTCATAAACTTTAATTTTAGTCATGAAAATGTTTATATACTTTTATATGAAAAAAAAATATAAAAAGTGCCTCTTTGCCTCTCAGTTTCCTCTACTTAATAATTAAATACACACATACATACATAGACACACACACAACAATCACATTAAACATACTACTGTGTATCATTCAAACATATACTAATTTGATTTCATGAAGGGTAAGCTAAAAGGAGACTGAGATATCCCACAAAGCTGACTTTATGTTTCACAAGTAAGTTAAACACAGACAACTATAAATAAATGAAATATTAACAAAGAGAGACTATTATAAATCACACTATTAGAAATCAGTGTTTAAGAATAGATGTATCCTAATCATAAAACATTTAATCCAATAGATAGTCTTTTAATGTTGTATAATTTAAATGTTCTAGGAATAGACAAGTAGCATTTGAAAAAAAGAGAATTCATAAATAACTGTATACAATACACCATTATAAAAGTGAAATCTATCTTCATACATCAGGCTGCAAAATAGCTGAATGTCCTCCCCCCCAAACAAGTTATGTCTTCAATTATGCAAAAAAAAATATAATGAGGAATCGATAGCAATTACATTATATTTATGATGTGTTTTATTAACAGCTTAAATTTACATTGATGTCATAATAAATACTAAGTAAAAAACATGTTACATGAGAGCTATGGTACAAAAATTCTAAGATAACTCCCTGAACTCCTCCCCCTATCACCTATGTTTTTGTATAATCTCCTTCTCTTGAGTGTGAGTGGAAACTGAATATGATGAGACATCTCTCCCATAGTTATGTTACAATATATGGCAAAACAAAGATTATGCTGGGTAGGCCTGACCTAATCAAGTGAGCCCTTTAAATAGCAGAGTTTTCTCCAACTGGCTGCAGAAGAGGTCAGGTGTTCAAAGTATTAGAAGGACTGAATGCATCAATACTGGCTAGAAGATGAAGAGGGCCACATGAGAAGGGATATAGTTGGCCTCTAGAAGCTTAGAGCGAATGCCGGGTGATAGCAAGAAAACAGAGACCTCATACAGTCACAAGGAACTAGGCTTTGCCAACAACATGAATGAGTTTGGAAGATTTTGTTTTACCAGAGCAGCCAGATAAGAACTCAGCCCAGTCTACACCTTGAGTCCAGCCTTGTGAATACCCTTAACAGAGAATCTAGCCACGGTCTTGACCTACAGAACTGTGAGCTGTTAAATGGGTGCTATTTTAAGTTGATAAGTTTGCGGCAAGTTGTTACAGAGCAATAAGAAAAGTAATACAATAGCTAAGTACAAATTTTGAAACCACCCCCCACCAAGATAATTCACCAGTATTCATCCAATTTGTTATTTTCAATATTTATATGAACAGTGGTATTAGCATTTTAATCCTGTAGTTTCAGGGACTGAAACCAACTTTGACTTCTAAAACTTATAGTGCCTTTTGGGGCATCAGCCTTAATCCATTTTTCTTGTTTGCTTCCTTGATTCATGAGCCCTGAAACAAAAAATGAATGAAGTTATATCTTGAGTGACAATACCAATATCTGACTACATAGATCCTAACAATACACCTCTAAAACTAAAAATGCTTCGGAACAGCAAAGAATCTTAGTCAAGATAGATATGAGGAAGAGTTACAAAGAAGTTACCTAGGCTTGTTCCCTCTTTTCATTTTCTTAGTACAACTCTAAAAGGGAAGCTACTCTATTTTTTATTTGTATTTTTCTTGTATGCAAGTTTAAAAAAGAGCGTACTTTAAATACAACTGACAAAATAACATGTATTTAAAGTATGAAATGTAATAAGTTTTGGAATATGTAAAACATCTGTGAAGCCATTTCTTCAATCAAGATAATGAACATATCACATCTACAAGTTTTCTTGTGCCTCATTGTAATCTTTCCCTCCTGTGCCTCTCTGCCTGTTATCTCCAGAACCCCCACCCCACCCCATCCCTCAACAATCACTAATCCACTGTGTCACAATGAATTAGTTTCATTTTCTTAAATTTTAATAAATAGAATCATGTAGTATGTACACTTTTTTTTTTTTTTTCAAAATCTGAGTTCTTTCACTCAGCTAATTATTTTGAAGTTCATTCACACTGTAGTATGTGTTAGTTTCCTCACACACATGGTGATCAGTACTTTGCTTAATGCTCATGGGCACCCTGTGCAGCTCCCTCCTCTCTGGAACTCTCTTATAAACTCCAGCAGTCTCCCCAGATGCTCAGCTTAGTCTCCTCCACTGGGAAGTCTGTTGGGCTCTGCCTGGAAATTCTCTCAAGGTTATAGGCTGTGGCAATCATAGAGCTCAGCTGGTTCATTTCCCATCTCATTCTTCTAGTTCTATTTTTTCTCTTAATCAAAATAATTAAGTTGTTATACCACCTCTGGCACTCCACTGCAATTTTGTGTTTAAGAATCCAGTCAAATCTGAACTGAGGAGAGTTGTGAATATACTGTCTCAATTCATCATATAAATTTTCTTTGTTGAATCCAAGCACACAAATCAGGCAATCTTTTCCTTTAGTATAGTCCCACCCCCGTTAGTATCATACGATGTTCCTGGCTAATGAAAAGGTGCTTTGTACCATCCAATCTTTGTGTCAAGTGCTCCTTTGATACAAATTATTCTCTGGTTTCTTGCATCTCCCATTTAATCTAAACCATAATCTAATCCATGTCTTAGAATTCATTGCTTCTTTCTCAGGACACAGCTCAGTCTACTTCTCTTGCTATATTAAAAATTTTTTTTTCCTTTATTGATTTTAGAGAGAGAGAGAGGAAGTGAGAGGGAGAGAGAGATAGAAACATCGATAAGAGAGAACATCAACTGGCTACCTCCTGCATGCCCCTCACTAGGGATTGGGCACACAACCTGGGCATGTGCCCTGACAGGGAATTGAACCAGTGACCCCCTGGTGCATGGGTCAACACTCAACCACTGAGCCACACTGGCCAGGCTCTCTTGCTATATTTTTAATATCATTATGGCCCCAGTTTTCACTAAACTGGTTAAATAAAATCTCTCATTCCAATTGTTAAATCACTGTTAGAAGCTTCGCTTTTTCCTCTAACTCTTCATTACTAAGGGGTTCAGCTCTGTCAACTTTAATCTGTTCTTTTTATGCCTGTGCTGCATTTGTTAGGTCAGAATTTCAAGGTACCTGTACCCAGTAGTCTTTCTATAATACAGAATTTCTTTTTCTAGTTATTCAAATAAATGTAGAGGAAAGAAGTGAAAACCTTAAACATTGATTACTCTAAATTTATTATTTTTTACACCATTTAGCATCAATAGGTAAAACATAAAAAACAGTAAAGTTTTCCCAAATATCTTAAGATCTTTTCCTTGTATATTACTTGTCACCTTTCCAATCATGCATTTCTTGCTTATGGAGAGAGAAGCCAATCTACCCGTTTCCTTCTGCAGCAGTAGAGGCCACGCATGATGCTGCTGCTACCAACAAATGAACACACAAGCAATTATAACTTAGAGACAATACTCATAAAAGAAGACAGTTGACAAAATTCCACTTAGGTTCCTTGAAACAGCTTTCTCTATGTTGCCAAAAAGTAATTTACTGAAAGCTCTTCATACTTTGGCCTAAATCTGTGGAGACTCTACTTTAATTTGTAAAGTTTATAAATTCCTTCCTAAAAAAATCTAGTAATACTTATTGGAACTTGGGGTTTCAGAAACCTTGTTCCTTATTTAAATAGTCTTTCCAGTGACAATCAGACAATGTTTCTTTGACCAAGAAATGGGAAATGCCCACTCTATCACTAGGTAGTTAGGCTTCTATTAAAAGTTTGACATTTTTAAACTCTAGCATTTGCAAAAATCTACCCAAATATATAAATCTCCAAGTTCTTTTTATTTATTTATTTCCCCAAATACCTAGTCGAGAAGCATTAGTCATTAACCCAAAATGTGCCTGATCTAATCAGTAGTAGCTGTGGACAAACACAGGGCTCTGAGGAGTAGTTCACAAAATTGAGTTCTCTGACTTTAAAACAGGCTTGAGAAGCTTCTTGGCTAAGGTCTCTGCAACCTCCCTCCCCCAACCCTGTAACAGACTTTATTTACATTTTGTTCAGAGGGATAATTCCGGTGCTGCCTTATTAGCAGATTAAACTTCAGTGCATACTAGTTGGAGGATTCCCTCTTTTACATTATAAACTCTACTGACCACCCACTATGGGAAGCACCATACTAAGTATTTCAGGAAGGGTCAAAAGATGCAAAAAGACATGCTAATACTCTCAAAAAGCTCACCAACTGGCTAGGAAAATAAATTATACACTTATGAAACAACATGTAAATAATTATTCTGAAATTTCACTATTTTTAATGCATAGATTTCACAAACAAAACCTTTAACTACCACACACAATTCCATAACCAATATCACTACTGTTGTCAACATTTTTTAACTGTTTAGTCTTCCCTTGACAAAAGTGCAACCGAAGATATCTTTACAATAAAATTTTTACCAACAAGAAAATATTTTTGAGCTAGTTTTAATAGTACTTATCATTGTATTTTACTTGGAATAATAACAAAGATAATTGTACTCTAGGTTTTGAGCAAGCATATCAGTTTTGCCCAAGAAATATTCTTGGACTTTTCTTCCTCAAATCTTCTATGTCTAATCCCATCCACTGAATTTTTTATTTCAGATACTGTAGTTTTCATTTCTACTTCTAGAAATTCAATTTTGGTCTTTTTTATATTTTCCATGTCTTAACTTTATTCCAACATGTGGAACACAGTTATAATAACTTTTATTTTCCTTCTCTGCTAATGCTAACATCTGTGCCTGTTCTGGTGGGTTTCAATTGATATTCTCTTCATTATGGGTTATGTTTTTTTGCCTCTGCTTGTCTGATAATCTTTGATTGGATGCCAGGCATTGTAAATTTTATTTTGTTGTGTGCTGAATATTTTTGTATTCCTGTAAATCTTTAGCTTTGTTTAGGGATGCAGGTAAGTTACTTGGAAACAGTTTAAGCCTTTCTTCTCTTGCTTTTGTGATCTGTTAGGCAGTTCTGGAGGGGTGCTCAGTCTAGGGCTAATTGATTCCAGCTATTAAGTTCTTTACCCAGTGCTCCATGTATTATCATTTTTTCTAGTCTGGCAAGTAGCACAGACATTATTCTTAGATCTGTGTGAGCACCAGGTTCTATTCCCTCTAGTATTTTGTCCTTTGAACTCTAGCTGTCTTGGTCTTTGTGGACTCTCAACATGGTCTCCTCAATTCAGGGAGTCTGCTGGGTTCCACAAGAGATCCCTCTCCTTCTGTACTAACCACAGCCTGGAGACTCCCAAGGCAGTTAGCAGTGGCTTATTTTGTTCCCCGTCTCTCAGAGATCACTTTCTTTCATTTCCTAATATCTAGTCTTGGAAACTGTTTCTCATGTATTTTGTTCATTAATTTTTTTAAATATATATTTTTATTAATTTTCTTAGAGCAAGAGGAAAGGAGAGATAGAAACATTGATGTGAGAGAGATACATTAATCAATTGCCTCCCGCACGCCCCACACTGGGGATCAAGCCCACAACCCAGGCATGTGCCCTGATCAGGAATCATACTGGGGCCTCTAAGTCCATGGGACAATGTTCAATCCACTGAGCCAGACCAGCCAGGCGTGTTGCTGTTGTCTTAGGTAGAAGGGCTAATAAGTCCTTTTTACTGCACTTTTTGCCTGGAAGCCTTCATCATTTCTTTCTCTCTTTTTCCTCTCCCTCCCTTCCTCCCTCTATCACACTTTCAGTTGCTCTCACTCACTTTAACTCCTTTTAAAATTTTTTTTTATTGGTTGATTGATTGATTTTAGAAAGAGAGAGGAAGGGAGACAAGGAGAGAGCAAGGGGTAGGGGAGAGGGAGAGAGAGAGGGAACGGGAGAGAGAGACAGAGGAACATCAATTTGTTGTTCCATTTATTTATGCAATAATTGGTTGATTCCTCTATGTGCCTTAACCGGGGATCAAACCCACAACCTTGGCGTATCAGGATGACACTCCAAACAACTGAGCTATCTGGCCAGAGATCTCTTTAACTTCTTAATTTGAAATAATTAAAGACTCAGAAGAAGTTGCAAAAATAGGATAAAGAGGTCCTGTGCACCCATTCCCAGTTCCCCCAATGGTGACATCTTACATAACCATACTACATCATCAAAATCAGGTACCTGATTGGCAAAGTACAGTTAATTAAACTAAAGACTTTATTCATGTCACCATTTTTTATGTACTCACTTTTTTGTATGCTTTAGGTATACTTTCATGACATTTTATCAAGTGTATAGATTCATAAAACGATCATTATAATCAGGACACCATCACCACAAAGAAAGTCCCTGATAACATCTCTTTATAATCTTATCCTCCCTCTCCTTCCCTAACCTTTAGCAACTACTTCTCTGCTCTCCATTTTTATAATTTTGTCATTTCAAGAATGTTATATAAATGTAATCATACAGTATGCAACATTTTGAGACTGACTTTTTTCATTCAGCATGATTCCCTTAAGTTTCATCCAAGTTGTATGCATCAGGAGATTGTTCCTTTTTTATTGATGAATAGTATTTCACTGTATAAACATACAACTGTTTGTGTAACCATTTACTGGCAGACGGATATTTCAGTCATTATCAGTTTTGGTTATTACAAATAAAGCTATGAATATTTGTGTAAAGGTTTTTATGAGAATATTAAGTTTCTTTCTCCAACATAAACGTCCAGGTGTGTAATTGCTGGGTCATATCGTAGTTTCATGTTTAGTTTTGTTTGTTTGTTTTTCTTAGATACTTCCTGCTCACAGACAGAGCAAGAGGAAATGTTTCATTTATTTTTTAATTAATTTTTGTACAGATATCCCTCCTTTTTCCTCCATTGACAACCTCCTCCCCACCCCAGTCCCCCCACCCTAACCTTCACAGTATTGTTGTGTGTCCACTGGTTATGAATATATGCTTATCTCTTCCCACCCTCACCCACCCCCATCCCTCTTCCCTCTGAGGTTTGTCAATCTGTTCCCTTACTTTCCTGTCTCTGGATTTATTTTGTTCATTGTATTTCACAAATAAGTGAGATTATGTGGTACTTGTCTTTCTCTGACTGGCTTATTTCACTTAGCCTAATACTCTCCACGTCTCTCCAAGGTGTCTCAAAGGGTAAGATATCTTCCTTTTATACAGCTGCATTCTATTCCATTGTAGACATGTACCATAACTTTTTCCCCACTCATCTACTGATGGGTACTTGGGCTGTTCCCAGAATTTAGCTATTGTAAACGGCACTGCTATGAACATAGGGGTGCTTACATTCTTTCTGATTGGTGTTTCAGACTTCTTAGGATATATTCCTAAAAAGTGGGCTCATGGTAAAAATGGTAGTTCCATTTTAAAATTTTTGAGGAAACACCATATTGTTTTCCATAGTGGCTGCACCAGTCTGCATTCCTACCAGCAGTGTACTAGAGTCCCGTTTTCTCCACATCCTTGCTAGCACTTGTTGTTTGATAATTTGTTGATGGTGGCCATTCTGACAGGTGTGAGGTGACACCTCATAGTCATTTTAATTTGTATTTCTCTGATGATTAGTGATGTTGAGCATTTTTTCTTAAAAAAATTTTTTTTCCTTTATTGATTTTAGAGAGAGAGGTAGTGAGGAGAGATAGAAACACTGGTGAGAGAACATTGAACAGCTGCCTCCTGCATGCCCCCCACTGGGGACCGGGTCCATAACCTGGGCATGTGTTCTGACTGGGAATCAAACTGGTAACCTCTTGGTGCATGGGTCGACACTAAACTACTGAGCCACACCAGCTGGAAGTTGAGCAATTTTTCATATGTCTTCTGGCTGTTTGTATGTCCTATTTGGAGAGGTGTCTATTCAGGTCCTGTGCCCATTTTTTAATTGGGTTGTCTTCCTTTTGCTGAGCTGTATGAGTACTCTATATATTTTGGAAGTTAACCCTTTATCTGATGTATTGTTGGCAATTATGTTGTCCCATACAGTGGATACCCTTTTCATTTTGATGCTTGTTTCTTTTGCAGTGCAGAAGCTTTTTAGTTTGATGTAGTCCCATTTATTAATTTTTTTCTTTTGCTTCTCTTGCCCAAGGCACTGTATCAGTGAAAATTCTGCTACGTGTTATATCTGAGATTGTGCTGCCTACATTTTCTTCTAGGATTTTTGTGGTTTCACAACTTACATTTAAGTCTTTTATCCATTTTGAATTTATACTTGTGTATTGTATAAGCTGGTGGTCTGGATTAATTTTTTTGCATGTAGTTGTCCAGTTTTCCCAATACCATTTATTGAAGAGACTGTGTTTACTCCATTGTATGCTCTTGCCACCTCTGTTACAAATTAGTTGAGCATAATGTCTTGGGTCATCTTCTGGGTTCTCTGTTCTGTTCCACTAAACCATATACTATTTTTGTTGT